ACAGTAAAGCGCTAGTTTTACTTGATGAACGTTCAGAATGGCCAGTGAATTCCTGGCTCAGATCTAGAATCAACTGCAGCATCAATAGCGTGACGTCATCTTAATAGTGTAATTGCAGTTATATTCACGGGGCATTCAACGTGTTAGTGGCATCCGGTATAATATATGTCGTCGCTGTTTCTGTGTTTAGTTTGGGGCTAAATCGTCATTTTACTCGACAACACTTTCGAACAAATACAATGCGACAAGATAAATGTAGTTATCTGAATGTTGTACACTTAAGATTTACAATGACTGCAAATGATAGATTCTGTAAATGATGCAAAATATATGTCTAGCACTTCGCTTTAAAGTATCATTTCGAGAACAATGTAGCCAGAGCATAAGGCATCACAGTTTAGTGAGGATCATAATGTTACGAGCCCGTAATCGACAGAAATATATTGAAGGGTTCACGGCTGAATTGGAACTCAGCCAAGTGGGAATTCCGGTTCTTTTATAAGGCGATGGGGTGACTATAGATACGTGTGGCGAGAGGAGTTTTAGCCAATTGTAATCTCTGCATGTAACAGTGTACTTATTTCAATTATATATTCATGTGAACTGTTATGCGTGCTGGCATGTGGGCAATTATGTACAGCAATGGGCGTTAGGGTAGAATGATGACAATGAAAGTGACGATGGTGACATTTATGTCTTTTGTGTGTGATGCAGCTAACAAATGCAGGGTCGGAATGTAATGCTCGACAATCACATAAACAGAACTGACACAACCTTTCCATTTTCATCAGAAATCTCTACCAAAAGGAGAGTCGATTGTACGATTCCGACTGTATCATGTTTATGAATCACTATTAAATAGTGATGACACTGGGTGTTCGCGAAATAGTGAGCGTACCCTGCCAACCGGCGGCAGCCGTCATAAACACATGCAAAGTCAAGTCAATTATTAACCTGAAAAACACGGGAACATAACATGTGCTACATCAGACAACAGCCCCGGGATGATACTGATATAACACAGCATATTATTGCAGAAACATATTATGTTATATTTGTAACACAATAACGTGAAATAATCAATCAATCCACACGTTTTAACAAATAAGCAAATAATACAGGTGTGCTTCTAATACAACCTGTTTCGCAAGTTATATTTTTCTTGAGCAAATTAAAGTCTAGATATATTTGTTCTATACCAATCTAGATTGTTAGAGCTCTTCAACAGTTTTGGTTGTAACAATGTAAATGACCATGACCTTGCTTCGACACTATAACGAAAATCTATATTCTTACTGTTGACACGTGCTTGCGATTGTATGCATCAAAAAGTTGTTTTGTCGTCCTATATTCCGTTGACTTTATCTGCTTATGGTTTTGTCTGTGACCTGCATCAATTAAGATGACATGCCGTGATATAACTGGAAGACTGTTAAAAGCGGCTTAAAATCCAGCTCACTCACTCACTCTAACTGTATAGAATTCAGTAATGAATCAGAACTTCAACATGCTATTTTTCAGATGATTGAATGATATTGCATTTGACGGTCACGTCAAACTGACAGATCTGGGGATCTAGAATATCTTGACCAATGTGTTTTGTATAATTTAGGGTTTAGTAAACTTGAAAAACAGCTACCCTTCTGCTCTGTTACATCAGGAACGTAGTCTCTTTGTATACAGGGGCGGTCGGGTAGCCTAGTGGTTAAAGCGTTCGCTCGTCACGCCGAAGACCCGGATTCCATTCCCGACATGAGTACAATGTGTGAAACCCATTTCTGGTGTCCCCCGCCGTGATATTGCTGGAATATTGCTAAAAGCGGCGTAAAACCATACTCACTCACTCTTTGTATACATATAGATGCTGTTCTGTCTCTTGACAAGGTTGACACCATACAGTAGTATTAACATCAATCCAATAGCTATCCAGTTCGTGAACTGTGAATCCTCAAGATTCCGGAAACCCGGTCATCGGTATTCATTTGGTTGTTTATTCATTTTGGTCATTTGGACATATCATATATACGACGAGGGACAGAGCATTATCCAAACCACGAAATAAGAAATCACCTCACATTCTTTTGGCCAATGAGCTCTGACTATGGTAGTTTGGGGTTTCACCTTAAATGTTATTTTCAGATCTGACGTAATCGTTGTCTTCCTTCCATTTTTTAATAACAGAAATGTCACACACATTTGTAATATCTAGTTATACACATTGCTTTAATCAAGCACGGATGACATGATCAATAAAAGATCAAGATACATGTTATGAAATTATCCACATTGAAATCGTGTTACCAACAGTACAAAAAGGCTCTTCAGTCAAACACTTATCTGTATGCTAATAATGTGCGATGCGCTAAGAAATCGTAACTCCATGATACACTTGTCAGTATATATGTCAGTTCTATACCGTGGCTTGAGATAACGTTTGCCTATCTCATTTTAAATGTATGTTTCAGTGTAGACCTTCTGTAAAAAACACAGGGCACTATACAATGTTTGCTCAATTAAGTGTTTTGCAAAATATGTTTCACCCGATTAATAAAGATGTTTCGATGCTGCCGCATGGAGAAAGATTCCAAAACAAAAGACATTCAATCAGAACGTATTTAGGCCATGTGCTACTTTAGGTCCACCAACCTTTAAGGATGACCTGATAACCATGATCTTCAATCATAGTTGGCTGAGTGTGAGTCAACAGTGATCAAATCTCTGAATGGAATGCATAGACGTCCTTCTGCAAGTTATTCATTTAACAAAAAGGATAAGAATGGTTAATTGATATCGTACAATACATTCCGCCATTTGTGCACCCCTTCCATTTCAAGTCCATACCATTTTATGTCCAAATAATTAATTCGTGTTCAACTCGAAACGCCGACATCACTATTTGTGAGATTCAGGACATAACTCTGGATCACAGCCAAATAGACTAGCGTCGATTCGGAAATTCCACTTTCCAAATGTTAAGAAGGGGAGACTTTTGATAACCTTTGACTGCTTATGGTGTGAGATGAAATAGCCAATTGTTGCAGCTGACAGTGTACGCGATTGAGTCATTATGTGAAAGAGACAAACCCACATACTGTTTAATGTACAAGCATGCACCAATCGTTTTGTTTGAGAAGTAGGTCAGACAGGGGAAGGGGTTGGGTTGGTGTGCCGTGAGCTCAGAGATGGGGAGGGGGTTGATTTGGATCTCTGGAATTTCTTAATGAATGTTCTACTTACATTGCAGTTGATAATTCAATTTTATACACTTAACACAACACATGTACTTAACAATCGATCCGAACGTTTTGGCCGAATAGCAATTTCAAATTTCGCTCTTATAATCATGTTTAGGCAGGTCATTTTTCTGCCAGGCGCCTTGTAGTCTATTTTTAGATCTTACGTTAATAGTTGTCCTGTAACCTTCTCTGATGACAGAAATCGTGACTGTCAGCTAGACAACTTTGGTAATAAAACTTGCTCGTGACGTGCATGCATTAAAAAACATTACTTCCATACACTGGAGAAAATCAGCATTCTTGAACAATCAACATGATGAAAATGTGCCCTCTTTTTTATGAATGTTAAATGTCTCGATACGCCTCGTCGACTCCTTACAGGGGGAAGTTGTGCAAAACATAAATCGGTGTTTCGGTATTTATTGATAGTATATTCATTTTGGCAGTGTTGGAGGTGTATACAGATATTCTATGGACTTACAGTATTATATCATCCAAAACATGAAATCGGCAATCACTCCGCCTCATTGGCCAGTGAGTACTGACTTATGAAGGATTTGGGGATTCACCTTCAAATTGAAACTATATATTTTGGTCATATCATTTTCATGTTGGGGCGAGCAACATTGCAACATAATTTTTTTTTATACACATGTTAACAATCACTCCACATTGTATAGCCAAAGAGGACTGACTATGCTAATTTGGGGTTTTATCTTAAAAGTTTATTTTCAGATCTCACGTAATCATTTGTCTTTCTTACATTTTCTTATGAGAGAACTTGTGATACTCCTTTGTATTATCTAGTTATGAAATTGATAGTCATACATAAATAAATTGATCATGTAATGCTAATACACTGTATTGAAACAGTCTTCAACAGGTTTAATTCTGGTGTCCCCCGCCGTAATATTGCCGAAATATTGCTGAAGGCGGCGTAATACCACACTCACTCACTCACTCTACAAGTTTAAGGATACATGCCGGCTGAGGTGTGGTGAAAATTATACAGCGAGTGTGTGTGTGTTGTGTGTTTGTGTTGTGTGAGTGTGTATGTGTTGTAGTGTGTATGTGTGTATGTGTTGTAGTGTGTGTGTGTGTGTGTGTGTTAGTGTGTTAGTGTGTTAGTGTGTGTGTGTGCGTGCGTGCGTGCGTGCGTGCGCGCGCGTGTGTGTCGGTGTGTGCGTGTGCTAGTCCAGACTATTGCCGGGTAAATGTCGAATAATTTTCCAGCAGCTCATACCTATCGTGTCAACATTTCACAACTTTTGATGCAAGCGAAATCATTTCCATAAGGGGCGGTCGGGTAGCCTAGTGGTTAAAGCGTTCGCTCGTCACGCCGAAGACCCCGGTTCGATTCCCGACATGGGTACAATGTGTGAAGCCCATTTCTAGTGTCCACCGCCGTGATATTGCTGGAATATTGCTAAAAGCGGCGTAAAACCATACTCACTCACTCACTCATTTCCATAAAAATATGAATATAAGCCAGGAGGGGAGTCGATTGTACGATTCCGACTATATCATAAGCATATGCCCACGAAACTCCAACACGCAGTGTTCGCTGGTGTGATGACACCACGTATTCGCGAAAAGGTGAGCGTATCCTGCCCATCGGTGGCACCCGGCACAAACACATGCAAAGGCAAGTCACTTAAGCCCCATTTTCCTATTTCCAGTTAAATGCGTGTACATCACGTCTACACGATTCTAATACAACACAAGTATCATAGCAGAAAACACACACAATGTACAGAGATTAGATCAGAACAAAATATTTTATTTCACACACACAACATTTTACAAATTTGTACATTTTTAATACATCTTCATTGGGTATATGTCAACCACGTCAATATGTGCCATCAATCAAATAAATAAAGCGTCATAACCCTTTCCATATTTAATAGAAATCTCTGCATAAAGCAGAGTCGATAGTACGATTCCGACTATATCATGAGCATGTATTCATGAATCTCTATCAAATTGTAATGATACGAGATGTTCGCGAAAAGGCGAGCGTAAAACTATCCTGCTCCACCGGTGGCACCCGTCACACCTGCAACAACACAAACTTGTCGAACACATTTCAGATAAGTATTAAATTGCGTTTGGAAACCCTTTCTTAACTTTCAAGGTTGGCGTCACAAGTCCTATGACAAATTCTTTATTGACGCACATACAGTTGTAGCTTGGATCGAATTCTCAAAAACATTCTTACATAAGGTTTACTCAGTTCCGTATAATGGACTCAAAGAGACCTCAGTTGGACATATCCTATGTTCACCCTCGCAAGAAGAAGAACACATTGTAGTTCATCTTTAGGTGGTAGTTTGCAAGCTGTATTATGAATGAAGAAAGGGTTCACAGGTGCTCGAATCTTTATAAAGCAAGTGTTACTTTATTACTTTCTTGAGTAAGTACAAGCTTAAGCGCGTCACTTGCTTGTTAAGAGATAATAGCCATATAGTTAAACTTCCAACAGATATTGCTTGGTAGTCATATGACATTTAAATCTATCTTTTGTTCAATCCAGACATAACAGCTACAGCATGCTTGAAGCATCTGCCTCATATGTGATGCCCTGTTATGTTAAGAAGAAGTATCACATATATAAGCCTGGAAAGACAGGAAAAGCTCATTTCTTGATGCCGATGTGTATGTCTTGCCTTCAGTATTGTGCCTGCAGTGTGAACCAATCTGTTGCTTTAAATCTGGTCATCAGTCCGATCCAGGGGAACACTGCTTCTCAGTGCACACGTATTTCAATTTCAACACGCCCCAACCCCAACCTGGTATTACGGGGCAAGGCGAACCTGTTTCACGGTGCTGGTGTGCAGATCGTCACCTTGGTATGTCAGAGGCCTAGTGTGTGACATGATTCACTGGGTGGGCTAGAGGATGCTAACATCCATCGAGCTGTGACGACCCTGTGCATGTAAATCAGGAAACCCCTCTTGTTCTTTAATGTCAACTCCAATTACATTATCTACTTGTGGATGAACGTCACCTGAAAAACGATAAGAGGATAAAACAGTGTTCTACAATGTCATTTCCTTCTGTGTCCCTTCCTTCTTAAATTGTGGGAATGTCAATTTGACACTATTCGAACATTGAAGAGAACGACATTAATGACGAAGGTGATGTTCAGGCTTATATTAACCAATCAAACACAGGATATGTTATTTCTAAACCCTCTTTCACCAATCATCACTTTCCATGGTCACAGGAAGAACATTAGACGAACAGATAGTCACGGAAATAAAGTTGTGCATAAGGTGAAACACATTAATTTTATAAGGGAACCCTTTAGAATTAAGGAACTCTAAAGTCGCTTAGGCCCAGAGCTGGAAAGGGGATGCGTTTTGGCTGCAAGGGCTGATAATCTGAGGATAATGACAGAGGTGGAGGTGGGGAGTATTTTTTAAAATATGTGCTCTTGGTCTGTATCAACACCTAGAGCTTCAAATGGCGATGGGGCTACTAAGCTGAGAATGTGATAATAATGGCAGGGGTGGAGGCTGTTGTTTATCAAAACAATATATATGCTCTGGGGGTCTGCCATCACCTTGAGCGGAGAATGGAATGAGGCTGATTGTTTCATTAAATACATGCCCTGGAATTTGTGTGAGAGACAAGGCGACTATCAGTTAAGTATATTCCCGGTCCACAAAACAACCCCTGTTTCCAAAGAGATGGATCTTGGCTAATGATCCTTACTTTGGAAGCATAGAAACATACTTGTCGAAGAGAAGTTGGATCCTGAAGTATCGCTTCCATCACTGCATTGTTGTGGTTTGGTGTAGCCCTTTCCTGGATACCGGAAGCACCTTTGTAAGCCTGAAGGCAGACGGTGTAGCCCCCAAAGTAGCCCCATAATGACAACCGCGACGACTACGAGGGAAAGTGGCACTGCTAATGCTATCATTAGTACCCTCGACCTTCCTGAACCAAGACCAAGTCCACCAGTGCTATCTGCAACATGGGTTTGAAGGCTTCCGTGAAGTTGATATTCAGGTGTATCAGTGAGATTATTATGCACGATGCATCTTTACATGATGAAATAATGGTGTCATGGCCCTTACATATAAAGGTCCGTGAGTATGGTGTGGGTGCTTTATGTTTCGGAAGATCGCAACGATCTTAGGTGTGATGCTTTGACCATTATCTTTAATTAGATGACTTACAGTTGGGGCACTTGTCTTTACATTCCTCTGTTGTGTCTTGAATATTGTCTCCATAGCAGAGTTCCTCACACGAGTCACATCTCCCCACGACCGGGTCGTAGTATTGCTCATCTGAACACCCTTTCGCTTTACCATAATCTAAACGGAGAACAACATATATATGTTGTGTAAGTCGTTGGTGTTCATTGAAAGACAAATTGATTGGCGCCACATATTCCACTAACATCACGGCCGGGAACCAAGAATAGGCTTCTCTTTTTACATATATTTGGAATCGAACGCGGGTCTGTGGCGTGCCACGTGACAAGTAACGCCTTAATCAATACCTAATCACCCCAACCCGTCTCAACTTGTCAATACTAATACGTAGGAAATCGGTCTTCACCACTGATCCTTTACAATATCATATATACGTGATCATCTGCAATTTTGACCACGGTATATATAGCGTACTGAGGCTGTACTCAACCATTCCAGACCGCCTCCGTGGTCTAGTGGTAGAGCAGAAGGTCCGGGGTTCGACCCCCGGCCGCGTCATACCACAAGACGTTAAAAGATGGTACTTGTTGTTGTCTTGGGCTCGGCATTAAGGGGCTAAGACAAGGACTCGTCGGCTCGGAGTCAGTATACTGTGTCTGAGTGGGGTATTCATGTTAAACTGCGGCATTGTATCTCAGTGAGCTAGCACTATAAATCGGCATCAGTCCGGCCTTGTACAAGCTGCCACACAAACACACACACGTACATGCACGTCGCAAAATAAGTGCAATAATCTTGGACGCGGCGTTAAACCCAAGTTCACCTCACCTCAACCCCACCAATTCCAAATATGAAATATAAATATGTATAATAATATATTCTCCAGAACACTAATCAAAATTAAATAAAGAATATGATATTATGTTTAACTATCCCCTCCATATGAAATTCATGCATCACAATTGCTAACGTGAACACCTGCCAGCTCCGAAAGCCCCGGATATTATTATTTAACGATTGCATGCACTATAACCCGCGCTCCATCTGGCTGGCCTACTTTTAGCTTACAAAATGGCGTTAGGCGGAGTGTATACCCATCTGCACAAGTGCGCATTTGAAGATCACTGTTTACGTAAGTACATATTATACCACAGCCGTCATGTAAATTCGGTGTAAACTGTTGCAGCATCAAATTAGGACAAAATGCATCTATGAATACGTGGATGGGGTGTTGCATATGTGCAACTCAATGAGTTTAATGGCTACAAGGAAGTATGTTAATTCTACACAAGAAACATCGTTCACGACAGCATTATGTCCCTGCGTGCGATTTATATAACTAAGATACAGTTCTCAATATCATATTGTTTCCTGGATACCCTTTCCTATACAAAGCACCTTCGCAAATGGCATGCGTTCACAATGACCTTTGGACAAATCACCAACAAGTCATTTTAGTCAGTTAGATAATGAATATCTCTTTCAAGTCTTTTCTTTTCGGTTATTGCATTGGCTGATATACCATATAAATCACATGTCACGAAATCAGTGAATCTGGCCTGAAACGCCCAATTCAATAGTTCATGCATATGCATGGATCGACGTCATTATAAAATCTATTTTTAACATTCTCAACGTTCTAGAATATTACTTGAGACGTGCATTTTGTTGAATATCTTCATAACAATTTTAAATTAGCATTTACCTACCTGGACAATAACGTTGGCAGTCCTCATAGGTATCCGTTAAATCGACGTTATCACATATATCACTACACAAATCACATCTATTAATTACTGGGTCAAAATAGGAGCCAATACCACAAATACCATATGCTCCAACACTAATGAATAATACAATAACAAAACAACCACTTCCAAGACCCATCATCAAGATGTAGACTTTCAAGAATTGAAAGCACGGATCTCGCTTATCGTCTTGTCAGAGTGAAATATAATCTCAAATGAGATTATGGTTCACATATGACCCAATTCTGACGTAATGTAAACGAGAATACCTATGTACACCGTACACCGACGTAAAGGTAGTGGAAGATATAAATGATGTCATTTCTCTCAACTTCCTCTTGAACTATCTGTCTCATATTGTCTAATTGACATTCACGGGGCATTACAGAACATTCTTCATCAAAGTCACCGGCTAGGCAACTGTATGTACAAAGCAAAAATAACAAAATAGCATGACTTTTCATCTTATATTTTTTTATGGAACGAGTGATTAAATGTACATATGATAATGAAAATTGTAACGATTTGAACATTTCATAAATAATAACTACACCTAGTAAACAGTACAATAATAAAATTGATAAAATGCAGTTTGACTAATGAACTTTGTTATATCAACATTGCACAGAATTTTAAATGTATCATTCATATTGCCCTTCCTCAGTAATAACATTTTGCCATGGGAAGTGTATTTGTTTGTGATCCAGTGCTCATGCAGTAACAGTAGGTACAATCAACAACACTAGACAAGTTTCTGGGGAAAAGGGCGATCGAGAAAACAGATTAACGGTACAAAAAAAAGTTTTAACAAGGTGTTGAATAGATAGTATGTAGTTACACTGGTATCAATATAAAATCCTCTGGCAGTATTTGTTTACCACTATCTGTAACAGCTGCAGAATAAGTAAGCACCATCATTAGTTATTTGAGACTTATATTTTGACACCAAACGCAATCAATACACAAATAAACAATTAGGATGTGTCTAAAATACCTTCAGTGAACGAAAATCAACTAAACATGGAACTGGAACTAAACATTAATATAATATACACATCTTCATAACAAGAGACATTATTCAAATAGAAACAGGTACATAAAGAGATTTCATCCAGATCTTAAGTAACGTCAGCTGCCATACACACGTCCAAACCTTTCATCATGATGCTGCACACTTTACACATACGTTCAAACGTCATTAAACACACACTTGATGTTAAAAAGGTAAACGGTTAACAAAACATACAATAAATTTCTCCCTCTGTTGACACATGTCTTTACTAATTTACATGCTCACTTATATAACACTCTGTGATCTATCATAGTTGTTTCCGTAGTTTTTTTTCCCAAAATACATTTCTGTTCCTACAAAATACATTAACCAGAAATGTTTTGCTACATGGTGGAAAAAGCATGTTATGTCAACATAAAAAATATTGGAATGTTGAATCTGTTTCGTCATCATCCTCTGTTATGAATAAGACAATGGTGTTCACTGACATTGTGACGCAGATATTGTTACGAATTAAAATTTATCCCATCCTGCTCAAAGGTCATGTAAACTAAGGGAGCTGTCGTCACCCATTGGTAACATGAGGTCTGGAAGGTCGGGGTATCCCATTAAATTCTCCTGTACCTCTTCCCGTCTGTCTGCAGACACACCTAAAGAAAAAAACAATTAATTTTGTATTTAAACATATAAAACTTGGTTGGCTTGTTATAGACCGAATCACCTGCAACCTACAGAAAATTCAAGAGATACAAAACACTGAAGTAGAGATGCGTGTTTAACCAATGCTGTACATAACTGAATCTGACGTCCATATGATTAAGCTAAAGCCGGACAAAATATCAACATGATTCAACTTGACCATTAATGATAAACATCTAGATTATATTATTGAATATTAAGAATGTTGGGATCTTATAATTATCATGTCAAAGGTCATACTTAATGGAGTACCAGCAGACAAGCTAGATGTTGCAGTGTCGTCACACTGAGAATGAACAGGTAAAGCCACGTATGCTACTGATGAGTGAGGTGAGGGAGACTGTTGTTGAGTTGGCTCATCAGATGGTGCATCGATGTTTCGCTGACGACGCCGCCGAAGGAGAAACCCGGCTAGACCTATACTGCAGACTGCCCCAACAGTGACACACACGCACAGCGTCACAATCACGTTTGTATAGTCGCCATCAATGGGTTGTCGATTACTGGGTTTAACTGGTGACATCGATTTGTAATCTAAAATGAAATATGTTACAATAGATTATAAATGTCTATCACAGAGAATATTTTCTATTCCCTCTACAGTTCAGACATACTACATGATTCGATGACCGTGCTCATTAAATTCAGCTGAGAGGTGATTTAGGTTCGTTCTTTGAAACATGTAAGGATATTTTTTAATTTTATCTTCTTCGTGATGTTTGGAGCGACACAGATTCACAGGCGAATATTTTGTGATTCGATAAGAAGTAAAAAAGGAAGTGATTTAACATAAATGAAAAGACCTTATAACGGTTAAACATGCGTTGTATAGAAATGCTGTTATGTATTGCACAGACAGGCTAATTAGCATCCGAAACCACAATGTTGGTTTCCATTCGCTATTGTGGCAGTAGTCCTTCTCGAGTTATTTCCCTTTGACTCATTGGCTATGACTCAAATAGATTTTCTCGCATTTCCTCTGCTGTTGACCGAAGGTAATCTTTAAGGGTCGGTTTTTAATAAAGTTAATTATTAGTCGAGTAATAATGGTGGTTAAAATGTGCTTTTCCGTGTAATATCCTCATGAAAATATATCTACTCCATTCATTGAAACATTAATTTCTACGAGAAGCTACAGCGCATGCCTAGTCCGCCATGTTTTGACAGCAAGCACGTGGAGTTCATACACAACTTCACCTTTGATTGTCATGTTACGAAACCTTCATTGAGGTACCTGTATTTAATTAACATCAATGAATTTAATACCGTTGCAAATGTTGACTGAAGGTAATGCTACATACCAGGGCAACTTTCCTGACACGCTTTGACAGTTCCTTGTTGTTCCTTGAAGTCACATATAGATGAACATAGATCACACTTGTCCAGTCCAAAGTCCCAATAGCTTCCAGGTGAACATGATTTTCTTCCATCGGATACGCTTAAAGCCCACAGAAATACAAACCAAGATAATAATTTCATCCTTGCACGACGGGACATACCCCTCAACACTGTGTCAGTGCAGGAACATTTTAGTTGTGAATGAACCACGTTGATACTGATTGGGTTACTGCTGATTGGGTCATTCTAATAGAAGGCGGGTCCTAAATGTGCCAAGTCTAAACTTGCACGATTAAGCTGGTAATGAGAGTGTCTTCGCTCTCAATGTTCATATGTATGACAATTTCTAGATCACATGGGGAGGTCAGATTAATGTGAACATTATTCACTCACACAGCGACGTGTATGAATGTGTGTGTATGTGTTGTGTTTGTGTGTGTTAGTATGTGTGTGTTAGTGTTAGTATGTTAGTGTGTGTGTGTGTGTGTGTGTGTCAGTGTGTTTGTGTGTTAGTGTGTTAGTGTTAGTGTGTGTGTGTTGTGTGTGTGTGTTAGTATGTGTGTGTTAGTGTTAGTATGTTAGTGTGTTAGTGTGTGTGAGTGTGTGTGAGTGTTAGTGTGTGTGAGTGTTAGTGTGTGTGTTAGTGTTGGTGTGTGTGTTAGTGTGTTAGTGTGTGTGTGTTAGTGTGTGTGTTAGTGTTAGTATGTTAGTGTTAGTGTGTGTGAGTGTTAGTGTGTGTGAGTGTTAGTGTGTGTGTTAGTGTTAGTGTGTGTGTTAGTGTTAGTGTGTGTTAGTGTGTGTTAGTGTTAGTGTGTGTGAGTGTTAGTGTGTGTGTTAGTGTTAGTGTGTGTGTTAGTGTGTTAGTGTGTGTGAGTGTTAGTGTGTGTGTTAGTGTTAGTGTGTGTGTTAGTGTGTGTGTTAGTGTTAGTGTGTGTGAGTGTTAGTGTGTGTGAGTGTTAGTGTGTGTGTTAGTGTTAGTGTGTTAGTGTGTGTGTTAGTATGTGTGTGTTAGTGTTAGTATGTTAGTGTGTGTGTGTGTGAGTGTTAGTGTGTGTGTGAGTGTTAGTGTGTGTGTTAGTGTGTGTGTGTGTTAGTGTGTGTGTGTTAGTGTTAGTGTGTGTGTGTGTTAGTGTGTGTGTTAGTGTGTGTGTGTGTTAGTGTTAGTATGTTAGTGTGTGTGTGTATGTGAGTGTTAGTGTGTGTGAGTGTTAGTGTGTGTGTGTTAGTGTATGTGTTAGTGTGTGTGTGTTAGTGTTAGTATGTTAGTGTGTGTGTGTGTGTGTGAGTGTTAGTGTGTGTGAGTGTTAGTGTGTGTGAGTGTTAGTGTGTGTGTTTGTGTTAGTGTGTGTGTTAGTGTGTGTGTGTGTTAGTGTGTGTGTTAGTGTTAGTGTGTGTTAGTGTTAGTGTTAGTGTGTGTGAGTGTTAGTGTGTGTGTTAGTGTTAGTGTGTGTTAGTGTGTGTGTTAGTGTTAGTGTGTGTGAGTGTTAGTGTGTGTGTTAGTGTGTTAGTGTTAGTGTGTGTGAGTGTGTGTGTTAGTGTTAGTGTGTGTGAGTGTTAGTGTGTGTGAGTGTTAGTGTGTGTGTTAGTGTTAGTGTGTGTGTTAGTGTGTTAGTGTGTGTGTTAGTATGTGTGTGTTAGTGTTAGTATGTTAGTGTGTGTGTGTGTGTGAGTGTTAGTGTGTGTGTTAGTGTTAGTGTGTGTGTTAGTGTGTGTGTGTGTTAGTGTGTGTGTTAGTGTTAGTGTGTGTGTGTGTTAGTGTGTGTGTTGGTGTTAGTGTGTGTTAGTGTTAGTATGTTAGTATGTTAGTGTGTGTGTGAGTGTTAGTGTTTGTGAGTGTTAGTGTGTGTGAGTGTTAGTGTGTGTGTTAGTGTGTGTGTTAGTGTGTTAGTGTTAGTGTGTGTTAGTGTGTGTGTTAGTGTGTGTGTGTTAGTGTGTGTGTTAGTGTGTGTGTGTGTGTGTGTGTGTGTGTGTGTGTGTCCTGTTTTATGGTGCCAGCCAACTAGGATAACATACTGCAGTTAAACATGCACATAAACACAGTAAACATATCGTGTTATCCCTCAAAATGTTTTTTTCTGATCCATATCCCTACTATGCCGGTCCAAGAATTGCTGACAATATAGTTAAAACCGTGTGGATTTGCTCGAAACACTCCAACTGTTTGAATGTTGATTATGATGATTGTTATGCGTTCTTTATTGTCATGAAATCTTAACATGAAACTATTTGAAGGTCAATAGTTCAAACAAAAACACTGCCATTTTCATTTTATATGTTTGTAGTTTTACCAAGGATGAAATATGCTCTGTGTATCGAAGTGGTAACAATGTTGCACCCGTTACACCCAGTTAAACATGTTCAATCTATTTACATTCAGCATTTTTATGTAAGGCAACGTCCATGCACCAGAAACACTGTATCATTAAGGCTTTTCTACTGTTCATACACACCTGGAACGATATTGGGTTGAAATATTTAGTGTCTGTGTGCATAGGGAATCTCCTTTTTGTCATGATATGATCGCTGATAATAGCCTATGCCCATGTATGAAGTGCAACACAAATAATAATTGATATAAGCTTCATATTATAATGAAGTTGTTCCATTAGTCCAATATCGACACCACACTGCAAGACTGAGGATGAAGTATAAAATGAACCATTTAATGTGAGTAATTTACCCGGTAAATCAGGGCGGAATGCAACATTAAATAGAACAACAGTATCTAACAATTAGAGCATATAATGGAATGTCTTGGCTTGGGTATGACAAAATAAAATGTAATAAAAGCGTTTCCATAACCACAAAGCCAGCTCAGGTAGTCTTCTCCGAAAATTGTAACATATTTACATTGTAAAATGTATGTTTATTTAATATATTAACTAATGAAGCAAACAGATACACCTGTACTGAGTGGTCAAGTTGGCTACTCAATAAAAATACGTTATCATCAAAAGTATCTAAACTGTTTCGTGGTTAGTTGTTTCATTTTCATTTTCATTAGTACATAAAGATTTGTTTTATTTTAAGAGTATATCTCAAGGTCCTCAACATAGCAGCTCTTGTCTTTCCCGTATGTTGTCGTGGTTCGTGGGGTCTTTGGCATTGCTTAGCTAGCCCATTTAAATAGATAGATCAGAGATTAGATTTCGCTTCCCATCAACCTCCAGAGACACAAAGGAAGATTTTTGGAATTCTTTGTGGCTATGAAAAGTTTTACATTCACTCAACACAGTTTCTATATTTTCTTTCTCAAATATAAACCAAAAGTGTTGTAAAGGGTATATGTGCATATGCAACCTGAATATGTTTTTCCCTACATGATTTTGTCTTCATTATTACCCAAGACTGAATCTATAAGCTTAATGACTAAAACTTGTAAATCTGTAGGTGTTACTCAGCGTCAACAAACTTTAATGTAGAAATAACCTTTGATTACGTTATGAGCTATAACTGGAGCATATATAAGGATCTGTCTATTAACAGACACAAGACCTGCCATGTGTATCTTGGAGGCTAAAGCACTGATCAGTACTCTTACGGGTACGATGTGTGAATTTCATTGAAAATAATCTAAATTTCAGGAACAGACAAAAACTGCTTTTTACCCTCAACAATATGTTCAGAGTTTCCTATCCACTGAAAGTATAAGGAAAGTCATGGTTGTTGCATTTTTCCGTGGATGATTTTCAACGCAAGGCCTATGTGAATCTGTAAATTAGAAACGTTGATATAGTAGGAAGGGAATACGAACCACAGTTGAGTGAAGCAAATCCCCACCCTAGAATTGGCACATTGAGTTCATTTAATGAGATACACAACAATATTGAACAACCTTATGTTACAGTCCAGTAGACTCAACATTAGCGTACAACCCAGGACAGCCTGTCATATTCACGTTCACAGATACCATCCTCTATCAAATTCTTAAATACAGACGCTATGCCCCACAACCTGGAGTTTATCCTTAGTCTAAAGTGTGTGATTAGTGCAATGTGTCAAACTGAACAGTGTCTTTTACTCTGTAAGACAGACAGACATAAAACAGGTTTAGTTTAGTAGATAACCAAAGTTGCATTTGAACAACTTAAATGTACATTGTACTGTGAGATGACTGCAGATTTGCCGAGCGTACTTCCCATTGAAACTTGTAAAGTTACATTTGTATAACATTGTGTAACATCACCATCTACCGTGGGGAATTATCACATCCGGGGAACGTTAGACCTCTGTTTCGTGTGAACTAAACATCAACCCAACTTGTTAATGTTTCAAGATATCTTTGAAATATCCACGTCCATGTGATTCCAGCCATTTAAACATGACCCATGTCATGCATGATACCTGATTTGGTCAGATATGCATCATCATTATTCCTGTAGACCATAGTTGAACAACACATGAGTCAAGGATATTAAGACAATTAGGAATAAAAAAGAGACAATTGCTTAAAGGGAATAATGTTAAAACGCTATACAGGCAATTAATTAAAACACAACAGCCGAAGTGATGTCACTAAACTTCAGCTGTTCATTTGGTGGATATGCACCTCACTTAAGACTTACAGATGAAGATAGTAAATGATCCTCTAGAAATGACACATGTCACAATGAATCTTATTCGTAATTTATTCAGATTATACAAGACAATCTGTGAGGGGATATGTACTGCATTGAAATTTAGTGGCATTCTCAGACACCATGAACAAAAGGCAAAATTAGAACTCGTTATTGCCAGAAGAGGAAACTAACAGGTTACATGTTTCATTACAAATTAACACTTCGAAAAGAATAGCTGAAAACAATGCCTCAATCATTCACTCTGATACACCGGGTATAGTTTCATATATAGTATTTTATAAATGAGGCTTAAAAGAAACGTGACATAAATAACCCTAAAATACAACCCGGATGTGAATACTGATTGAAGTTCAGTATTTAATGTACTTCCTTTATCTAGGTTTTACGCAAATGTGACAGAAAAGTTGTTAAGTAAATGCATCAGAACACATTGATTCATTCCGGCCGTCAGATTGTGAATAATGATAGAGATTGTAATCACGTGTTGAAACATGGCAAAAAGCGGCTATTGGTGATATTTGTATCTGAGCGGAAGTTGAGACGTGAGCATGGGTATTATTGATGGAATAAATATGGTCAAATAAAGACTACTAAAAGTAGTCTTCAAAATATTCAATACAAATAATTATATTTTAATCTGTTATCTATACCTTCAACAACAAGATTTTGTTTCATTCTTTTGATTTCTACATCAGGCTTAAGTAGCTGGGGATTCAATTCCACGTTGCATTAATAGTTGCAGAAAAATTGTCAACGACATTTCTTATTTTTGAAAAAAAGACGGAATTAACTCTCCTTATCAGAATGGGGTGTGCTGTTAATCACCTTGTACTAAAGAAAGAACTCCACAACGTTCGGGCCATTGATACAATCTACGTTTTGTCACAGCATGAATAACGATCCTTGTTGACGGGGTTTCGGTGTTACGCAATCACCCTGGCCAGACATAGTAAACATCAGTTTCCATCACTATTTTCACTCTGTTCACCTTCTTTGATATTTTATTCTCACATGCTCGTCTGAAGGCAGTCTCGTAATACATTAATCATGAATCATTCAATTCATACAAAACGTACAATACTTACAAGAATGCTCTCTTGGATCAAGAAGATATACTTTGCAAAATGACATGGGAGAATCAGCATTATGGGGTCTAAGGAAATTGAATAACTTCAATAAAGTGTTTGGTAATTTTGGATAGCCTTATTTGTTGATATGATACTTCATAAACACATTTTAATATGCAGTGGTTCTCCTTCAAATGCACCAAAGAGCATGACATTGGTGTTGACTAATGAAGGCTAATTAACTGCGATTTTCAGAAATGTTGAATGTACTCTTTCAATAAGGTATGTCTTTTTCAATATCACAAATTTCCGAGCCATACATTAAAATAGGGACAATCATTGTGCCAAATGCTGGTAACATAGAATTTAAAAAAGAAAGAAATAGAAGGCAAGTTAATATTTCATGCTTTCTTTTATATTACAAACACAGCTTCCGTTGCATTTTCAACTAAGCGTTTTATTGCAAATGAGAATATCCTAACAGGTTTCCCAGTAAGGTGGCCTCTGTGACTGTTTTAAATAAGAATATAGGAACAAATAAAACATTGAATATAACAACATTGTTCTTGTTCATGTGTATATAAGTACACATGGCGTCCATTATTCTATAGGTACATGTGTAGGCTCATTTACCCTTCTTTTAAATATGTTATAATCATTATGAGAATAGGTATAATGGCAGTGACCCTCGAGCAACCATACGAAAGAAGGAATTCATCTTTCAGTTTGTAATATACCCAAAGTCAAAATCTGTCAATATAAAATAATATATCAATAACACATCCGCCTTCTCATTTTTACAGACGTGTGGGGGAATGACATGTCTTATGAAATAAACACATGACCAGATGTCATTAGTCCGTGACTGCATCACAATTAAATATAATCAAAACCTGACCTGTATAGATAATAAAAATAGGCAAGGCTAGCTTATTGTTAAACATTAGCATTAGAAAATTGAAAAGGGGAGACATTTATAGTGTAATAAAATATTTAATTGACTATAATATTAAACTGGGGTGGCAAGAGTATGAGTGGTGTCATATAATCACCCACATTATCGAGTTTGTTGATCATAAAAGAGTAAAAAGTAATTAATTTATTTACAATAGTGCATTGTTTCCAGACACTATACAAAAAGCCTAACACTCGCATTGTCATTAATTATCCAAGCACATGAGAATAGAATGGAAACATAGACAGTAAGTGCTACATAGTTCTAAACAACTGCCATTATATTAACATTTATAGTAAAACGTGGACGCCAGAGAATAATGAGAATAATAAAGTTTATTTATTAATAAAATTGTTTCGAGATTATTATAAGTTATTGCATTAAAAAATGCGAAGTGATAATAATTTAAATTCATGTCATTGCCGAAACACACCCTGGAGATGCAACACCATGGCGAGGTGTCATGGTGACCCAAGATCCCACCTGGACAACAGCTATTAATGCGAATTGAAAGGAAGTACGGTTGGGTAGGAAAAAGACTGATAAATCTGTGGCGTTGACATTTTGAATTGTACAATCATAGGAAGGAGCTTTCTTTAATACACACTTACATAGTTTTCCAGGGGTGAATGAATAAGAGGACATTAGGACATTTGATTTGTCCGATATATTCAGTATTGTATGAAGTTCAGAATTCAAAATTTGACCCACCACACTGACGTTACAAAGGATGCACACACACCTTCGACACAGAGGCGGTGAGAGCTGACAAATGTTCATCAAAACACGTGTGAAAACTGACATCACACTGTTACTAATCACGGTTGCTTTTAAAACGTTTTATGGCAGACATGTGGAGGACATTTCCAATTTCCCCCGTGTTTTTTAAGGTGAACAATTGACGTGCCTTTGCATGTGTTTCTGACGGATGACACCAGTGGAGCGGGATACGCTCACCTTTTCGCGAACACCTGGTATCATCACTATTTGAAAGTGATTCATAAACACATGCTTATGATGTAGTAGGAATCATACAATCGACTTTTAGCAGATATGCCTATCGAATATGGAAAGGGTTTTGCCGCTTTTTTAAAATGTAGTTGATGGAAAATTGAGATATTTCTTCAACTTATTTTTTTTTTATGTGTTCATTAAACAATGAAGAAACTATAATCATTATGACCTTAGATGGTAAGTTTGAATTACAACTCTGAGGACAGTCTTGAATCACTACTTGTTGTCCAAAGAGAATATGATACTCATTCGAGACAGAAGCGAAACAATAGCCCATCGTAATGTTTACTGTAGGTAACTGGTTTCCACAAGATACCCTGCAGCTACCCTGTGATATGTTGTGCAACACAATATATATGTGAATATAACTGTTGAATGTATGCGGTACCTTGGCATCATCGGTGGGTTCATAGTTACTCACATTGTGAATATTGAATATTCTAAGTGTGTTGATGCTCTGTTCCTCAACAAGCTATTCTGAATATGTGGATGGTGTTAACTCAGCAAATATCAACTTGTTAAATATTGAAATATATATTTTGAATACTGTTGTAAATGCGTTGTATTCATATGGAAACAAATAAAAAAAATGTTGCTACTTTCCCAATGTAAGAGGTATACATGTATAGAGTATCGATAATCATAAAATTGGGGACAGGGAGACACATGTGGCAGCGATCCTGGTACTTCCTTGTTGTAACGGGCAACGAGGTAAGGACTCTATAAAGGAAGGGAGATTTGTCTTAGCTGGTTGACTGATACTTCCTGATTCTAAAGGATAAGATAAGAATTACATACAGGCATAAAGGGAAGAAGTTGTCCAGCTAAGTGTATTTTATTCATTAGGAAATAATGGATATAGCTGGTGTCATAATATCATAATTTTTATTTGTTAGGGAAGATCTTTGATGTTTATGAAAAGACAATACGAACTAAATGGGGAAAAAGAAAACTGTCGGCCACAAAAGTCTTGGTAAGGAAAAGTTTCAGTCAGACATGTAAATGTGTATATGACGCTCAAATTATTAATGGATTTCTTACATTAAACTACGTTTGTATTTGTTTAGGCAACTGAGACGAAAGGAAACAGGTTTTTTATAAAGTATATAGTGTCAGTTTGCATATGTATGAGGTAAAGGGATTGTTTAATCAACATAAATCAAGTAAATTGTCGGCTAAGTAAACCCCCTCTCAATTTTAACTGTGTTTCAAAAACGATACCGATGGGGCAGGACATGCATTCCCTTTCCGCGAACACCTGGTGTCATCACTGATTTTACTACAACATATTGTATCCTGCCTGCTCTTAAGCATCAGTTTAATTGTGCGTGCGCGTGAGTGGCAGATACTGCCGGTAAGGCAGGACATGCTTACCCTTTTCGCGAACACCTGGTGTCATCACTAATTTTACTACTACATATTGTATCCTGCCTGCTGTTCAGCATCAGTTTGATTGTGCGTGCGTGAGTGGCAGATACTGCCGGTAAGGCTGGACATGCTTACCCTTTTCGCGAACACCTGGTGTCATCACTAATTTTACTACTACATATTGTATCCTGCCTGCTGTTCAGCATCAGTTTGATTGTGCGTGCGTGAGTGGCAGATACTGCCGGTAAGGCAGGACATGCTTACCCTTTTCGCGAACACTTGGTGTCATCACTGATTTTACTACAACATATTGTATCCTGCCTGCTCTTAAGCATCAGTTTAATTGTGCGTGTGCGTGAGTGGCAGATACTGCCAGTGAGGCAGGACATGCTTACCCTTTTCGCGAACCCCTGGTGTCATCACTAATTTTCAGATTCATTCATATATTTTCACCGCTATATTGTCTTTTACGCCCATCTGGGCATTTGGGCATCTGCTTCAAGGAAGCCACAACAGTGTTCTTTAATGAACGACAATCTAGCTAAGTACCTGTAGCACAAATGTCAGAATCAGATTTATGCGTTCTCAATGGGTGTTATCAACCGAGTCAAGTTCTTTACCAAAGGCTCCAATAAAGGTGAGGTGAGGCGAAATGGAATTTAACCTCGCGTCTAAGATTATTGCACCTATATTGCGACGTGCATACACGTGTGTATGTGTGGCTGCTTGTACTAGTCCTTAGCCAGGCAGGGTAGCAACAAGCAGATACTTCAACTCACAGATGCCTTAAAGGCGCATCAACTTGGGATTATTTTACCATTTGGTCCTTAAAACCTCAAAATCAGGGAATATATGATGTTTGTATTGCTGAGCTATACATACAACAGTCAGTCAGTGAGTATGGTTTTACTCTGCTTTTAGCAATACTCCAGCAGTATCACGGCGGGGGACACCAGAAATGGGCTTCACACATTGTACCCATGTCGGGAATCGAACCCGGGTCTTCGGCGTGACGAACGAACGCTTTAACCACTAGGCTACCCGACCGTCCCCCATACAACAGATGCAATCACATTTGCTGTAAGCGTATAGCTTCCCAGCGTAGCGATACTGAATTACTGCGTCGATTGACTCACCTCTCACTATAGAGTTTCACAAGTCACTAAGAAAATGATTATTCGTTTAAATCATAATTCCCACATGATATTATATAAAATAAGAACAAGTTGTCCCCATAAAAGACTGTCGTCCTGAGATACACTGTCGGCTTATCTAGACCTGCCTATTACAAGAAGAGAAATACCATTCATCCATGGACTTAACATTCGGTGCAGCCTTGGAACAGGGCAAAGTACAGTCGGCCATAGCTGTATTTGGTACACTGGTCCCGGGCATATTATCTGACAGCGCACACTATGTCCCGGGTAGACTGGCCTACTTTCAGCTAACAAAATGGCGTTAGGGGCGGATACTTATACAACGCAGACTGTCCACCGCCGGATCAGTGTCCATCCTCGTAAGTACACTATAGCTATGTCATGCAGTTTTTATGACATTTTAGTTGTGACTCCTTGTTACTGCACGAAATGTAAACAAAATGCATGTATGCATATATGCGTACGTGGCAGCTTAAGTATAAAGCGTTGACTGTACAAGGTTGTTGGTTACTAGGAAGATTGTCTATGTTTCGAACATCAATCCTCCTTGTGAGCTCGAGCTCTGTGTAACACTGGTCATGTTGTATATATTTCAAGGTATGTCTAAGATATACTTTAAGAACTTTAACATTTTTTAGAAATGCACCTGCTAACATACACAATGCAGCTTAAATTGTTCTATTTTGAACTTGGCTGGAAATAGGTTAACGTTCAAGCTTTTGATAGTTCATTCAGACAAGCAACGTACTCCATACCGTCATGTTGCCAAGTTTAGTTGAACCAGCTGCAGAAACTAGTTTTAACTCAATATGCAATACCTTCATGAATATTCATGATATACACTGTAATGTGACGTCATACAGTTTGACCGCCATGTTGTTTGCAATCGGACTCTGGGATACTTATTATTTGTATCGGAAAATATCAGTTGTAAGGCTATGGTTGCATGGTATATATAACCTATGGTATATACTCATATTCAATCAAATACATGTGCATCATTTTACAGGAGATGTCATTCACAAGACATTTATAAAGCTAATCCATTGCTTCTTGTGCATCATTCAACTTATTTTACAGAAATCGTAATATACATCCTTTCATAAACTTGGCATGGGCGTATATTGGTAGAAAAGTCGACATACTTCGTGTGCCTCCGTGACTGCCATGTCCTCACATATACACAACCTTGGGGACATCTTTCAGTCACTGGGTCAAAGTAGGAGTGAAGGGCAGTAACTGGTATATCTACTGGCAACGGTTATCAACACTGTAAGAGCCACGTCATGCCGCGCAGATATCTCAAGTGAGACTGACACGTGACGGAGGCTATCATAAGTGTATATGGAAGTTTCACATGACTATTCTTTATCTAACTACAGTTCATCCACTTTCATATTAAACTTAATTATATTTGCAATATAACATAAACTGACTTGAATTTAATGAATTTTATTTTCAAGGAACCTGTATATATAACATATTTATATCATAACAACAAGTCAAAACTGAGCATTTTGACATTAGAAATCGAAGGTGATGCCCTGAGCTAATACCAGTCACGATAAGTGAGGCCATGTGGCTGATGTGACGAAAGTTTTATCGACTTATTCACTGTAATGATGTCATCAAGAAGAACACGAATATTTATTTCTCGGTCACAAAACACACGATGAGAGCACTGACAGTGTGTCGCCGAGAGATCCTTGTCATCCTGAGATATGCAGATGAAGGTGTCCAACTCAGCCATGTATAACAAAGTGACTAAAATACTTTGAGAAGTGAACATCCACACATATACAAACAGCTTAGCGATCATGTTATGTCTCTATATACATCAATAGACGTACATTCATGTAATTTCAAATTCATGTTATATACAAAAAAACATGTAACAAAATAACAAACAATAGAACTCTAATCTTACTTTGGCACCACATTTCATCATATTAATACCACAATGAATGGCTAGTGATTCACACTCGGAGCATATCGATACAAAGTTAATGTTACTTGGCAGTCGGTTGTGCTAAGTCGGTGTGTGATAAATCGATTTGGACTAGACAACCGGGGTTGGAAGCAATGACACAATTGTCCGGGTCACAAATTGTAAGGAGGAGCTCCGGCCTTTGGTGTCCACAGTTTGAGGTACAGTCGAGCAGGTTATTACGACAGGGACCAACATGGACAAAGCAGGTCCCTGATTTAACTTATAACATTATGTTCCCGTGTTTGTTCAGTTGAACACTTGAACACTTGTGTTAATGAAGGGTGTCACTGGTGGGGCAGTACACGTCGTTCACCGTTACACCTGGTATCACCACTAATTGATGTGATTCATAAACAAATTGCAATGATATGGTCGGAATCGAACAGCGTACCCTGCTTTTATTTGCAGAGATGTCTCACGATTATGGAAATGGTTTGTATTAATGTCAAAGCGGTCAGCCCCTCGCCGCAATCCACTGTACAGACCTGCGCCCCTTAAGCGTGTCAGTGCCCTATTTTGTTGTTGGTTTGAAATGTCCCGATTCGCCCAGGAATCGATCCTTGGCATCCTTGTCTGCACAATAGTCAACACAATGGGTTTTACCAAAGTGATAAAAGTTGAACACCTGCAGCACACTTTGGGTTTTTCACGCCAAAATGTAACTCAGTACCCATCCAAGGCTTGCTCAAGGGTCTTGTCAACCTAATCAGTTCGAGGAAGAACATTAGTCAGCTACACTTCACTGACGGATGTAACGCGGGTTGGAATGTCTGGATGGTGAACTGGATGGTCTTGCTCAGGTCTGTCCTCACATGCGTCTAAACAAATGAAACATATGTTAAAAACACTTTGGCAATTGGGTAGATATCAGTTATAATGTACGACAGTATTTTAAGATTACAACTGCTTTACTGATAGTCTGTGTGTCATTTAACGCCGCTGTAAGCAATATTCCAGCCATGCCATAGAAGCCTGTTGACAATCTGGGACAGATAAACCAGTAACTGGTATCATAACGTCTCTCTCCTCTCGGGGTAATATGTAAGGGTACATTAAACCCTTCTTGTACAGAATCAACCAGAAAACTCTTCGAAAATGTTCGTGATAGGATGCATATGACCACATGGGAATGTTTTTGAACTGTGATAAAAGTTAAATATAAAACGTCAATGCCAGAGAATAACCAGTTTCGATTATCCACCGAAACAGGTGCCATTGGGCGTAAAAGGCAAAGCAGCGGTGAAAATGATGTGAATGGATCACTGAAAGTCAGTGATGACAACAGGGTAAGCAAGTCCTGCCCTATTGGTAGCATCTGCAACTCTCTCTCTCTCTCTCTCTCTCTCTCTCTCTCTCTCTCTCTCTCTCTCACACACACACACACACACACACACACACACACACAATCAAACTGATGCTGAACAGCAGGCAGAATACAATATGTAGTAGTCTTGAAGAGAGAACATAATTATTTATCGCATACGTACGTCCGGTGGAGATCAATGGTTTTGATTTGTCCTCAATTTGAGCTATGATGATTGAGTCCACGTATGATAGAGATGGCTCTTGTTCAGGCGCGTGTGGAGTAGTGGTATGAACTGGACCACCACTGCGTCTACAGCGACGGAGTAAAAATACTGCTATACCAATACTGATGATGATGAAAACAGTCGCTGAGACACCAATCGCAACGCCACTGGATGGGTTAGTTTCCTTGTCCTCGATAAGTGTAATCTTTTCAGGATTGGGAAGGACATTTTGGGAAGACGTGTAACCTGTAATACAAAAGATAACTAAAATAGTATATGAATTAAGAATTGATATTTACAGTTACCCAAGAGAGAAATTATATTGAATCATGAATCGGAAAATGAATCCTTCCAAAATAAAAGGGAATCGCCTTTTCAAATTGATTGATATCTGTGCAAAGATTTGTGAAGAAATAACGAAAGACTTTGGTTTTACCCTCGGAATCGGCTCTCACCAATAGTTGAGTCTGTAAGGCTAACCAGTTGTTAATAATACTCAACTGGGGGACTATTCTTCCCCGGAATCCCAAATAGGGATTAAACCAATTTACGCGTGTGATAAGTAGTGATAGTAGTATAGGTTTAGGGCAAGTTTGGACTACTGGAGTATCATAAACAGCATGCCAAATAAAGATTTGTGGATGTAGCTTTTGTATTTGTATCAGCATAAAACTAGCTAATTTATGAATTACGATAATAATAGATTTCCAGTTGTATGGGATGAATATAAAACAACCGACAACACATTGAAATAACGAACATGTATGTACATCAAGAGAATGAAACAAGTCATTAAATATATTCTTTTCGTTTTTAAAACGCAATTGCATTAATACAAACGTATATTCTGTACCAACATACTTTCTAGAGAAGTTGGGCATTTCCTTTCAATAGTAGTGGTATTAAATAAGAAACATTTCGAAAATCTTTCAGAAAACAGTGTTGCACGAGTTATTTCCCTTGACGTGTAACGCTCCATTCCGGCGCGATATCAACCTTCCTATATAGTTGGGTGGACTGCGCTTATGCTACATTGAAGCAGGGGTACAAGCGGGCGGGATATAACGACCGCCGCTATTGGATAGCGGAAAGGGCCGAGTTGGCCGAGATCGTAATTTGTCAGTTCTATTTTTGGAAGCTCGCCAATGTTTCTATACTTTCTTAGTATACTCCTGGCGCAATGAATGCAGTTTGAATGGGATAAATAGTTCCATCTTCCTGTTTACTAATGAACTGAATAATAATACCATCTATTAACATACACGACAAAGCACAGGGCAGTTCTCGTTTAAAAGGAGGCCATGTTTTGACAGCTTGAAAACACGTGGTCCTCCCGGTGGCTTCAAGAGAAATGAATGAAAATTGAATTGGAAAAACTGTTCCACACTCACCTGCCAGGGAATACAAATTCATATGAATAGTTAAATTATAAAATATATACTTAATATTTTTTACACAAACCTGGGCAATTACTCTGACATGATTTGACCGTCCCTTGTTGTTCCATGGAGTCACAGATACTGGAACACTGATCACACTTTCCCACGGCGTTGTCCCAGTATGTCCCAGGGGGACACCTGCCCCTCCCCTCCACAAACACCAAAATGAGTGCGAAACAAGCAAAGGAACTCGGGGATGTCATCGCCATCATGACAAATTCCAAGAGGAACTGGTTCCGAAGTTGCAGCCACGAATGTGTGAGTCACCTATGATATCTAAACGGTGATTGGCTGATGACAGATGTTGGCTCAGGAGGTTCTAACAGACATGTATTGACATGCTTACGCGCCATATGTAAAGGAGTGTCCGCGTATTGTTGTGTGATTTGCCCTGTTTTGTTGCAATGGTACTCCAGAATAGGAAGTAATGTAACTTTTTGTTTTATATCTACATAGGTGAGAAGATTGATAATCGTAGCAGGAAATTTACGGCAACAGGGAAATGAAACAGTTTTTTTCTATTGTATTTTCTATTGTATTTGTATAAGTTAGTTGAACATCATGAATGTCACAGATTGAGGTTACAGGCCCCACATGTACATTTCTATAACGGCCAAGGTCATGTTATAAGATATGCAGTATGATCATCTTCAGATGAATTACAATTATTTAACAAACATGTAAACATGTTGTTTAAATAGCTAAGTAATTGATCTTTTATTTGTTTTATTGATTGTATGTGTGACGAATAATTCTTAACGCTATGCTGCCTTTTACGACCAATGGAATCTGTTTTGGCAGATGATCGAAACTAATTATTCTCTGGCCTTACGGTTATATATTATACAAACTAATGTTGCCTGTCTAAAATCCATGTTAATATAGTTGATATAAATCAACCAGATGGATGTTGCTCAGTTAATGAGGCAAAATAACTGTGAACATTTTTTGTCCATGTTGCTTTATGTTTAGCAGCACATCACCTATTTTTTATTGGAGGTATAAATTTGCAATTTATCAATATGTCTGAATTTTTTGCCCCAGCAGTCTTAATACAAAAAGCATGGCTTCAAGAATTTAAACAGATTCAAGTTTAATTTTAATTTCTGCCTTACATAAGATGTGGTGAAATATTTTCTAACTTCATAATTTAAGTCTATCTTCATCAGTTTTCCACGTCACCAAAATTACCACACTTGTTTACAGGACTTGTCTTTGACAGTATAGTAGCTTTTGTATTAGCGACAAAATAGTAATATGTGGTTTTAGTTCTTTGATTGCAAATGAGAGGGGTATCCCGGTCTGTGGAATACAGATAACACTAGATAATCACTGGGATATTTAAAAACTTAAAAGATTATAATCTTACCAGCGGTGAATGTCATACTGATAGTGTACAAGATTTCAACTAAAATATATTTCATTTCACTAGAATATAACATTCAATCACTATATCATGCAATTCTTTTGGGACTCCAGAATATGTGGATAAATCATTTGTCATATTGGCATAATTATTCTTGAGGTACATATTTACATATTCCATATACCAGTACCTCTGCTGGTCACACCCGTGGTGATACCCATGCAACTAGAATGAGGGCCGAATGGTTACATCGAATGTCTGAGGGAGTGTCTTTACGTCAGGGATTGACGTTGCTCATGCTATTCACCACCCGCTCGTTTTTTTAAGACGCCACGGTGTTTGGCTGGAATATGTTAACTGCGGCGTTAAACGGCATTCACTCACCCTGCTTACACACAGCAGAGATTTCTTATTGGTATGGAATATGGTTTTGTCGCTTTGTAATTAAGACATTGTGCAGCGGTATGAATGGTTGAAAAACGTTGCTCAATGATATTTGAAACAAGAAAATCTCCCTTAACTGAAGAATAGTTATCTCTTTTTTATCTATGTCAGCCCCGTCTAACGTCAGTGTGGTTTCATCAGCAAATCTGGCTAACAAATGCTCAATCCGGATGTTGCTCTTTAATAATTTTGTTAAAACTTCAGTGCAAATTAGGTCCTTACCGACAGTCCTTACTAATGTGAAGAAAAATGTTGAAAACCCATTTACCACTACACACGACTCTGAATTATGATAGAGAAATTGTATCCAATTTCGAAGTGACCGTCCAAAATGTTTTAGTATGTTCTGAATGAATTTCCAATTCATAGAATTAAAAGACTTTTCAAAATCTATTTATATTAAACATAAAAACTGGAATTTGTTGTGTTTAAGCGTAAGCCATTAAATCACTTGTCTCGTAACCTCTCGAACACATATACCAGGTAAAATGCCCTTCTGTTCTTCACTTACGATACTAGATAGCACTGGTTTAACACGGTAAGCGATAGCCACAGATGCAGGTTTATACGAACATTGTAACACTGAGCAACAGTATTGCATTTACACAGGCAGTTCATGTACATTAGGAATATGGCTTCTACATGCATGCGGGCATCCAAGTGACAGTACTTTCCCATTTGTGAGTTGAAGTTGTTTATACCGGGGTTAATTTATATCCACGTTACACAAGTGGTATATGTATGAGAGGGGTATACGTATATGTATGAGAGGGGTATATGTATGAGAGGGGTATATGTATGAGAGGGGTATATGTATGAGAGGGGTATAGGTATGAGAGGGGTATAGCTACGAGAGGGGTATCGGTATGAGGGTAGATCTCGTGTTACAATGTAAAAACGGGCACTGGATATTGCTTCAAACGTGTCATGTGAGGCATTAAATACAACTTTATGTGTGGACGCCTATCTCTACATCCTACCTGGAGGATTGAAGCGGATGTCTTGTTTTTATAATGACATACGTCAAGGACGATCTCCTTGGTAGTATTTGTAAAACTTTATCTCTATCTTGTGGCAACCTTTACCCCTTGGGCATGCTAAATCTATGTAAGTCCATGATCTCTGACTCACAAGTAAACGCTGCTGTTGTGACTGCCACACAACTGACGTATTCAGCAACATAAATAGAGAATGGGTCTGCCCACAAAGACAGTTGGGCACGGATAACAGGTGTTACTATACGTTTGTGATAATATGCTATATTTATCTCCAAATATGTAATTGATCTGTATTTCAGACTGAAATTACACTAAACAAGAAAACAGCGTTATCACTATCCCCTGCCATGAGGCACATTAAAAGGTTTGTGCATATAGTAGTGAACATTAACTATACAATAGAGCCCCATAAAGCCTTCGTGGCGGGGATGATAATATACCCTAAGGACACTATGAGTTTTCAGAGTAAGATCCTGAAAATCATCCAAGAACATATATATAGAACATTTGTTTTTTCTTGTCAAATATACTGTTTATAATCTCAACTCGTGACCTGCAAAGCTGTGCCACTCATAAACATATCGACTTCGTAAGTCACTCGATGTAATAAACATGTTATTTGCCAAGAAAAGACAATTATCGTCTCGTTGTCCTGTATCAATGAAGGTTGTAAATACTTCTGTGTAGTAGTTTATTCATTTAAAACCACTAGACTGCTCCATGTATTTCAAACAGCAACCTGGACGATCAGGATTAATTCGAGTACTGTGGCTTCCGTTATCCCGGAACCACGCATTCTGAGCTGTTACTGTTCGTCAATTTCTACATATATACACATGGGCATTACGGGTCCAGGCCTATTGCACCTACCCTCCAAGATGCAAAGGGAAGACACACACGATGAATATGTAGGTCTCACATAGCAATGTGATAAAATACAGCAACATTCGCGCGGTATTTGTTTATTGTAAGAATAAAGCGACAAAGCTGAGAAAGTTGAGTGAATGAGTAAGTGAGTTTTGATCCAAAACGTTGAAGCCTTGTGCGGATTATATGACTCTAAGTAGTTTTCATTTGTTTGATGCATTATGATCGCCTTACCTCTTCGGCTGTAAAAATTGCAAAAGCTAATATTTTATTATTTATGCGTAACCCCTTTAGGGAGTTAAATGACCAGGTGCTAACGTTTGTAAAATGCATGAAATTTGAAAGATGAATGATTAATGTTTAAAATTTAATGGTTAAAATCTCATTTGGATTATAATTAAAATTTAGTAGTTTCACACATTATAGCTGAAAGTCATCCCTCACCTCACCTACTAAAAGGTTTTTGTTGATTCCAACACTATTGAATCTAATATTATTGAACTCATCATAAATTAATACATATTATCAAAGGTCGTGTTTTGCTTCTTTGATTATATGAACAAAAAGCAAATTATCAAATTAAAAGATATACCTTTTATTGTTGAAATCCAAGAGAGCTTAACAATGTTGTGAATAAAAATAAATACTGTATAAAATTATAAATAATAAACATTTTCATATTTGAATAACACTCACCATCTACCAATGTTGAATATGCTTAGAAATTGGCATTACTCATATAAATAAACTGAATCAAAGTTTCTCATGTTTGTCTTAAGTAATGGAAGTTTTGACAAACGTGACACTGACATAAACGTAATTTTATGTTGAGAAATGATATGAAAGACGTGTACCATAATTGTTAAACTCTTACCATCCTACAGCTGGCCACTGCTCATTGTATAATACGTCAACATACAGTTTGAGACTGCAATCAACCTATGCCAAGAGACTATTTCTCTAAGTTCATTCATTTAATGTTGACTAAACCATTTAACATATATAGTACTGCTGTTTGTCCTGGCATTGTCATCTTCATCATAACACTTGGAGTAAAAACACAGAACCCATTCACAACGATGTCTTTTACTTTGGGACGGTCGAGTAGTCCAATAGTCTATCTCGTCACACCGAAGGCCCGGGTTTGATTCCGCACGTGGGTGTATTTTATTAAAATTATTTCTGGTGTTCTTCGCCTTGATATTGCCGGACTCTTCACTCACTCACTCACTCACTCACTCACTCACTCACTCACAGAAAGGCTAAAGACGACACTGTATTCTAATTAGGGCCGTATAGCATTTTAAAGTCAATATTTGATAATGTGGTTTTTGATCCGTATTACTACACTGCGTTGTGTCGATACTGTCTGTAACAGATCTATAATTATGACTGTTATAGAGCAATACAAATAACAATAAACAACTATTAACTTTGTCATATCATAATAGACATTACAAAACAAGTGAGAACAGGAAATAAAGAAAACAAACCGGTTCAATGTCATTGCATATAGTACAAATATAGACAATGAGATCCCGTCGGTGTATTTACAGTTGTGATGCTATATACATGTTTATCTCACTGTCGCCCTGTGAAGATATCTCTTGCTGTGATGTACGTTTCTCCAGGTGTCTCCTGATCTAGCAATCGTGATCTCATGGAACATTAATCTAGCATGATATTATATGTTGTGATTGTATGGCAGATAAATTCAGATTTGCGTCTAATGATATCACGAGAATAATGTCGTAGACACAATTTATGGATAACAACTTCTTTAATACTGTAAAGGCGACGTTTCGGTATAGATCTTATATCGTTGTCAAGCAAGACTGAATGAGGTACATAGTACAGGATTAAAGATATTAAAGAAGTTGTTATCCATAAATTGTGTCTACTTTGTCATCCGTCAACTTCTAAGTAATGCAGGGGCGGTCGGGTAGCCTAGTGGTTAAAGCGTTCGCTCGTCACGCCAAAGATCCGGGTTCGATTCCCGACATGGGTACAATGTGTGAAGCCCATTTCTGGTGTCCCCCGCCGTGATATTGCTGGAATATTACTGAAAGCGGCGTAAAACCATACTCACTCTAAGTAATGCCTCTCAAACAATTCGGGAATAATGTCTGTGAAAAAAAATGGAGAAAGAAATGGAGAAAGAAATGGTAAAACATTCGGTTAGGAGATGGCGAATAATTTGTTGAGGCAAACAAAAGGATCCAGCTATCACGACAAGACAAATCATACGTGTAACTATACATATCATTCTTACTTTGAATTATCCAGTTATTAATCATGTTCATATACAAAAACTCAACCCAAGGAACACAGAAAGAACGTGAACTCAAATTATACATTTCATTTTAATATCCTTCACACACATTCGGTTAAGAGACTTCTTTCGTTCGCCATACGTGTTCATGTTGACATCTAAATACATTCAAACATGAATATACAAAAATAACAGTGGCAGTGTCGTGATATATTCCTGAGTGGTTTGCTCAATTTGACACACTCTTGTATACATACATTCAATTGAGCTCTGCCTCTAGATCTGCCTCTGTAAAATATGTAGTGTCAGCTCATACCGGACCACCCGACTACACGTTAGGACACTTGCTGAACATGTCATGAAGTCATTTTGGGTCACCCACTTCCTCATTCTACAGACTTTCTAGAGAGGCGTGAAGGGAGCACACTTCCTGTTTCAATATTCGTGTGCTATTCTACAGCATATGATCTCGCGTTAGTATCGAAAATATCTCGTCCTTTGATGTTCCACATTAACTCTGTAAAGCAAGACAACTGGATATAGTTGTTTCTAGATGTGTAATCTTTCTGATCTCCACGCATTGAACATTAACGCTTAACGCCAAGGTCCCCTCAAGAAAACTCCGGATCATTTGTCGGCTCCTGGGACAGGCATGGGATTTTCTCTGCCCCGAATTAAACAAAGGTGGCATAATGCCAATACCCCAGTAGTTAAACCAGCTGGCTCAGTAAGATCCGTGCAGGTTACTGGCATGTCTGGCACTGAAGGGGAGATCAGAGAATGCCATGGGAAACTTATTTTCCTCTTCAGTTGGTAGTGGTTGTTCTTCTGAAAACAATATTATTGTATATGGTGAATGTCATTAATGTTTATTCCAAGGTACAAGATATGTATGTACAAGGGTGAGTGAGTATGGTTTTAGGCCGCTTTTAGCAATATTCCAGCAATATCACGGCGGGGAACACCAGAAATAGGCTTCACACATTTTACCTATGTCGGGACTCGAACCCGGGTCTTCGGTGTGACGAGCGAACGCTTTCACCACCAGGCTACCCGACCGCCCCTTTATAGAAGGGTGTCGCAGCAGTTGCCAGTATGTTATAAATATACGCAGACGTGTGCACATAAAAATTAGTGATATATATCAATTATGTGTCACCTTTAGAACATAAAACCACAATAGACAATACCAATGCCATGATTGCGTGTTATAAAAACGGCATACATGTACAGTTATAAGATGATATGTTATGAGTGTGAGTTAAATAATAGATTAATAACAGCACATAAGTATTACCTATAGGAACTTCATGGAAGTCACTGACGGATTCTTCAGTGCATGGAATGGAAGGGAGCTCTACCAGGGTTTCATTTGCTGGTTGTATAGGTCTGTGTCTAGGGCTGACATAAACACGACGATAAACGACAAGCGCCAGCACCACACTGACCACGACCACCGCTGCTAACACAGAAAGCACTGCAGGAAGAATGCTTCCCTCTTTGTCTGTCGTCTTCTTGGTGCCAACTTTATTGTCTATTTGCCAAATAAAATGACAACATTTCAATCATCTTGTATCATATATTACTACCTTAATATTCTTTTTATTCTTATTAAGAACATCTGACATTGATGAGAAACGATGTATATTGTACAAATCCGATTAATATACCTATAAACCCAACAATCAAGGTCATGCATAACTATAGGAAACATTATATGACATCTGTACATTGTCCACCTATTATATGGTAAGTGTAAAAATTGTCAACTTTAAAAGCCACGAAAAGTGCACATACCTTTTTCTGAATTACTAGCGAAGTTCAGTCGGAAGTCATCTGTAAAGAAGTGATTGTATCCATGCATAAGGTCGCCTGTATTGAACCCTTTATTACATGTCAACCGCAACACGATAATAATATCATTGTAGGGTTAAGAATGTGTACTGCCTGAATGGTAAGTAACTATGAAAAAGATATAGTTCACATCGATGATAGTTATACACTTCAGGGAATTTCAAAGTATTAAGACTAAACCGTATTGATATAACTCATCACAGCATTAACTACATATAAACATACATACCGGGACAGTTTTTCCGGCAGTCCTCTTCAGTTCTCTTTATCTTCATATACTCGCATATATCAGAACACGGGTCACAGTGTCCAGAGCCGAAATCCCGGTACGTTCCTTGGGGACACTCCCCCGAGCCATAGGCGAGACCGGCACAAATACACCACAGAAGCCCTGACAGTACTAGCCGGCACATGTCTGGTTGTAGGACATTGTACACTGAGTTGAAGCGTCAAAATGAATTCGTGGGAAATAGGCTATTCATAGAGTGCGATATGACGTATTAAAATGGCCTTTCGCGATTGGCTAATCCTATATGACATCATTCTGAACCAATCATATTTATGTATATCATTTACTTCAGTTACCAGTCTCGCTGCTAACGTAGTTATGTATAGGTGAGCGCTTTCCTGATGTATTGACAAATGAGGTTTGTTGAGAAGCAGCATTAGGGGGTTGTGGGTTGTAATTGATTCATTCACACATTTCCTCGGGCTCAGGTGGTAGCATTAGGAAGTTGTTTTTCGGCTGAATAGATGCACAAATGTATGGAGTCAGGTGAATATAGATGATATTGAGTCATGCTCGTGATATAGTCATAACCGTACAATGGACTTTTAACAGTGATTCCTTATGAATACGGAAATGATTTTGTCGCTTATATGTTTATCCATGTACTGGTATAGGGTTCATTGCCAGTAAACCTAAACATAAATACCCTCGAGTGACAAGCAATTTAAGGTATGTTTGGTTTTGACCTGTTCATAGATTCCTCTTTCTTCCTTGAGATATGCATAATATTTTAACCACTGTGTGACAGAGATAGTTTATGCCAACATGTTAAGAATCTCTGCTTTCATTTATTTATTTGATCAAATGTAATTCCCGGGCATGTACACTGTTCGGATCTCCCACCCTCAATAATACAATTGTCGGTCCTTAACCGTTACTTCAACAGACTCAATAGATTCCTTGCTTGTCCATCATTGCATCGAATGCCCAGATTGATGTAGTTTTAATTTTCCAAACACTGCTCGTGATTCGACGTACAGGGTTCCAACAGATTCCTTTATTTTTATTATTCCTATATTTATGTATAAACATCATTAAGTTCAGTTACCAGGCTCGCTGCTATCATAGTTATGTAAAGGCGATGTTAGTTCATGATTCCGACAGATTCCTTCCAGGTCTATCACTATATAAATATATGACTAATGAGTGTTTACGATATTATAAAGTTCATGATAATGAATTATGACTGATTCCACATAAAGAAAACATATAAAGATTTATTTCTTTAAGCCGATACAGTTTTTATAGGTTCCGTGATATATAACCTGAATGGGACATCATTTTAAGGAAACCCTTATTTCACCTGACATTGTTCGACTCTGTCACAGGTATTCAAGTCAAACCAACTCATTACATACACTTCAATACACGTCATTGTGTGACCGCCTCCGTGGTCTAGTAGAGCGTCCGCCCGGAGAGCGGAAGGTCCGGGGTTCGATCCCCGGCCGCGTCATACCAAAAGACGTTAAAAGATGGTACTTGTTGTTACTCTGTCTGGCGCTCGGCATTAAGGGGCTAAAACAAGGACTGGTCGGCTCGGAGTCAGTATACTGTGTCTGAGTAGGGTATTCATGTTAAAACTGCGGCATGGTATCTCAGTGTGCTAGCACTATAAATCGGCATCAGTACGGACTAGTACAAACAGCCACACACACACACGTGCATGCACGTCGCTATAAAAGTGCAATAATCTTGAACGCGACGTTTAACCCCATTTCACCTTACCTCACCTCATTATGGTCTCGATGTTGATCACGTTGTGAAATGTAACTCACCAGGACTCTTTTCACTACACTCATGTACAGTGCCTTGAATCTCAGTATGGTAACAAATGACTCAGCAGTGTCCAGTAGCAGTGTCACAGTACCTTCCAGGGTTACATTTGACAAGCCGTCCCAGGGGTCACCAAGGACAAAAAGGTAACCAAAGGCAGAATCTGGCCCATCCTTGATTATCCCCATGCAGGATCCGGAGCAACCGATCAGAAGAGAGTTCAAAATACAACACTAACCTGGTATATGCTGGAAAACGTCCTTATGCAAGATGTGGGGATCATTCCACACCCACACGCCCGCCTACTCCTACTGGGAAATCCCCAAGAACATCGTATGACATCGTGGTTGTTAGTCAAGCAGGATCTTTTGCATAATTATGCAAAGGTTTACATTTATTCACGATTTGGAAAGAGGGAACGGTATGGGCTATATCAATTGCTTAAGGTAAACACAATATTCTAGGACTGAAATATGCTGATGTACAGATGTTACGAGCTCAATTTAATCATTTCTGATTGAACTTATAATAATCACAACTAAACCTTAAGATATCTGATTCAATAAATGTTACATTAACATACTTGAGAGCAATAAGAAGACTCCTCGTCTTGTGGGTTGGAACTGGAATTTACTGAAACACTCTGTCAGTATATTTGTGTTTTTCTACATCTTCAGAAGAACAGTGTACGTTTGTACTTTAGCACAAAAGAAATCATGCATTCATTATTTTGTCATGATTCATTATGTTATACTGTGTATAATGTTGGTGGGGTAGCCTAGTTGTTACATCGTGCACTAGTCACACTAAAGATCCGGTTCAGCTGTGTGAAACTCATTCTTGATGTTTCCCGCCACCATATGGGTGGAATGGTATGAAAAACGTTGTTCACCTCTACTCACTAACTGTGGAGAGATAAAAATTACCTGAATGACCCGATGAGTACTAATTAAATAGCCAAGATAGAACGTAACCTAGGTAGTAAATAAAATTTATTTTATGTACATCATATACACAGAAACATATATCAGACTCCAAAACTTAATATCGAATAATATGCCGACATTGACGTAACACAACAAGTACTCACTCACTCACTTACTCACTATTTACAGGTAAATGTTCAATGTTTACACACATGTGACTGGAATGGAAAGTTACAAGTATTTAATATAATGTACATGGCAATACATAAACACATTACAAACAAGTATATCACATTGTACATGTGTATGTTATTACAGAGACAGTGACCAAAATGTGTAGGCAGTGTAGTCACTTGGTTGACTGTTTTGTTTCAGAATTATGGGGAAGTCGAAATGAAACTTAATATGACATATCATGAATAACGATCATGAAGAACACTATACATAGTTTACTCATGAAAACATGCATTCTCCTAACAATGAACACAAATGACATAAAGTTACACATACATGTGCTGATAGAATGACAAAGACAACATGTGGTTGGACAATACTATTCCACCAAACAAGGACCTAACTTAAAAACATACATAACAATGTAATTCCTCAAGTATATCGGATTCACACATTAAATGTTCTTTTAACTGCCCTCGGCAGGTTTATGTTCTCACCAACAATGCTGTACGACTTGGAAACATTAACTGGGCCATAGAAGGTAAAGGCAATAATGGCACTCCCCAAATGCTTCACCAGTTGCCTTGACACATGATGTAGCACCATAGAACCCTTCCATAGGCCATGAATGCAACAAATGACTGCAGTTTTTGTATGATATCTGAGATCTTAAATTGACTCTATTTAATTAATAGAAACACAAGATGCATCAATTTCAACTTTATAAACTGCCAACTCCTAAATGCCTATCTAAGGCAATTAAATCAGATATTAATTTATGTACAGTAAAGTACGGTTATAACGAACTCAAAGGGACTACTAATTTTAGTTCGTTATAACCGTAGTTCGTTATAAGCATATATACAACATAACTACAGCAAATAGTCGGGACCAAAAAAGTAAGTTCGTTATATCCGTCAGTTCGTTATAACCGTGTTCGTTATAACTGTAGTTTACTGTATTATGCCTGGGCCCTTTTCTCAATTTACTTTGGATATGTAATGAATATTTACAACTAACACAGTTCAGCTGATGGAAATACAGTTCTTGGGTCCACGTGTCACAGAGGTATCATCCTTCTCTGAGGGGTATTTTTGTAAGTGAAATCTATCTGTAGAATGAGCAAGTAACTGTGTATCACATAGACGATCCTTCTTGTGCTATGTATCATGCAGGTGGGCTCACGTCGGCAGACTGAGTTTGACCTGTATTAAGTAACATCTCCTTCCTTCCACAGAGATCAACTTCCTTCGCCGAATGGCAGGTAACATCTTTGTAAAGCTATCCAGCTTCTCTTACATTCTTCATCTGTTTGGCCTTGGCCTGGACGACTTTGACTTTGCTATCACATTACAGACGTAAGGGTGTGTGGGACACAGTGTCAGGGTGAGTTAGGCATATCTTGCATCTCCTGATGATTGACGCTGATACTGGAGGTCTGTCAAGCCGACCTCGGGAGCTGGCATTTGAATTGTTACGCTTCCTGGAGTCGGTCCTTCGTCTAAAAGAAACGATATCATAACACACATATAGTTAAGAGAGTATTATACACATACAATACATATAAATGATTAATTAATCCCTCTAGTTATTCCTGTGGACGATACATATAAAATAAGTTTGGAGGACCCAACTATGAGCTTAAGTGCCAAGGATGATGGCAACTGTGGCTGTTACGGGCAATGTGCCCAATTTTGTATGTATATCCTGATATAGCAAACCAGTCCTATTCGAACATGGTCATTACATCACGTGACTTAACACACACTTACAACTACTAAGGGAGGTCAATGAGGACGATCCAGGGCTGTCGGTATGACTCTCAGTGCACTCTACTGGTTTCTTGTAGCCACCTACAAGGCAGGGGAGACACCTCTGTAGTCTGGACGGAAGGCGATGTTCACAGAAACACACTATGAGGCCATACACACTGACCAAGATGAGGCACAGGCCAAGTAGACAACATACAGTTATAACTGCGATGTTTTCTGATGACAGTTGTTGGCCTTGGATGTCTTTCGGCTCAAAGTCTGAAATAAACCATCACCAATGATTTATGAGGATTATTCTGTTGCTAATCAAAAACTGATCACCACATACTGCAAGGATAAATCGATGTTGCTTAATATCATTTGTCATTCATTCATGAAGGTAAAATAATGTCATTGTGAGTGTGGTTAACACAATCTATCCCAATGCAATATCAACAGATAAAATATCTACATTACATATGCCTCAATAAATATGTAAAGGGCACGTTACGAATAGATGTTAAAGTCACGGTTTAAGTTTATGACACTTTGATGGTGAATATCACAGATTGTGATAATTGACACTCACATTTGGGGCATTTCTCCTTGCACTGAGCTGTTGTCCCCTGAATGGCGTGGTTATCACATATGACACTGCAGTAGTCACTCTGTGATATAGCCTTGTCATAATACTGGCCTGAAGAACACTCGGGCACCGCAGTGGTCGTTGGCCAATCCTGCTCATATCCTGAAACAGAAGTGTTTCAGTACTTATATTTCATGTAAAAAGTAAAATCATTATTTTGCAATTTCTAATTACCAATTAATGAGATCACCACATACCATTTGCCATGACGACAAATTGAAAGAGAAAATTCCTTTTAATCTGTGCTTGTTTAAGGGGTTATTGATTTAGTGTTTTGCTTTTATTGATATGTTATCTGATGAAGCCTTTTTGTGTATCCTCCAAAAGCATGTTTATACATGTATATTGATCATATATTATTCTTTTGACTTTTGATTCTTCTACGGGGCTGATGACTCCTGAACCAATTTTATATGTTCATGATGTTTACACATAACGTAATCTTCTTCGCCTTGTTGATACAAAACTGGTACTGTTTCGAGGTGTAGGCAAGGATACACATCTTTGTCGTATAGATAAACGACCTACATATACCTGGATGTAAACTGGAAATGACACTTATATTACGGTTGTATTTGTGTCATTTATTCAATATATTTAATATTCATTCGAGCTTTTGTGATTTCATGTTTCTCCCTGTTAGGTGTCATAGAAGTGTAGTGAAAACAAAACAGTATTTAAAGATTCTGTATGAAATAGGACTCTCCCATGAATAAACAGAGTATAGAATCGTTCTTGTGATATCATGTAATACGGAAAGATGGGAATATATGATCTTTTTGTTTGACTTTTATGTTCATGTTTATAAATCAGGCTACAGTGACATTTAAGTTTGAATTTAATTTACGACTGCCTGTTTTTGGTGTTCAGTGGAAAAGTGAAAAACATGTATCATTACATAAGGCTGTGAAGTGAAATAGGGTTTAGCGACGCTTTCAAGTTGATTGCACTTTCATAAAGACGTTCACAAATACGTGCGTGCGCGTGTTTGTGTGTGTGTGTGTGTGTGTGAGAGAGAGAGAGAGAGAGAGAGAGTGTGTGTGTGTGTGTGCTTATACTATTTCGTTCTAATGTCGGTTTTATAGTTCTAGCCACCGAGTTAAACATTGAAACCCCAACTGAGGCACAGTTTACTGACCCTTTACCGATCAGTCCTTGTTATTTATCCCATTAATGCCGAGAGCCAGACAAGAGAACAACATGTACCTTCTGTTAACGTCTGGTATGACGCGGCCGTGAATCGAACCACAGACCTTCCGCTCTCAAGGCAGACACTTTATCCAGTACGACACGGAGGCGGTTATCAATATATAAGAATTTGAAATGTAAATAAGCCAAATCAACATTAAGAGTTCCTGTCACGTATTTCTTTTTCAGCAGCAACACATACTCAGAGGTGAGGTGAAATGGGGTATAACGTCGCGTCAAATATTATTACACTAATATAGCGACGTGATGTACACACACACACACACACACACACACACACACACACACACACACACATACATACATATATATATATATATATATATCGAAACCCCGGGCGGACGCTCTACCACAAGACCACGGAGGCAGTCACATATACTTTTCAGTGACACATCTAAGTACAACTGTGGTGAGTCTTACCTGGACATAATCGTTGACAGTCCTTCCCAGTTCCTTGTATATCCGCATGTTCACAGATATCCGCACAATCATCACATCGAGTTGTACCTGTGTCCAAATACTTGCCAGGTGGACAGTCTCCGAACACACTGACCGTGGCAGCTAATGCTATAATAAACGTTAGAATCCTACATGTAACACGGTGTAAACACATGTTTGTTTCTTCTTACAGATTCACCTCTCAGCGGGAGCAGTAATATACACGTCCTATCAGCTCGCGACCGCCGGCTGAAGTGAACCTAACGCGCCACTAAGCGAGCGGTGAGATCGATGAATCACGCGCCTGCTTGATTGCATGTAGGTACCACTGTAAACACGGATCTGTAACCACTACCGACAACAGATGACAAATGGGCTTTTGGCTTATCATGAGCATCGGTTTCAATACTCTCGTTATATACGTGGAGTAATTTCAACTATTTTGCTTTTTTTTATATTTATTGTTGGAGGACGCCATGGTGATCATCGACGATGTTCGAGTTATCTGAATTCGGGACAAACGGTATTTAGACACAACGCCCAAGATTCAATATAATATCTGCCTGGTTACTTCAGCAATATGCCAAGTTTGATTTCATAAGGTTAAATGTATTTATCATTCCGGTATTATTGTGTGTATAGTTCCCCGCATATTTTAATCTGTAGCAACACGGTACATGGCGCGCTATTATGCTGATAGAGACCCACCATTTGTGTGTGTGTGTATGTGTGTTAAGAGACATCTTGCAACATTTATTTGGGTAGGCTGTCACTTTCAACACTTTGAAACACTGGCTGGGCCAAAATATTTTCTTTAAAAAAATCCCAGGCTGCACACTACCCCCACCCCTCCTCGACATGAGGGTATTATCTGTTCTATTTGCTTAGTTGAACTATTCGAAATAAAACAGTGTGTACAAGGAATATCAGACCATCCTAGTTTTACTGTGGTGAGTCAAAGGAAGTATTTGGAGACGTTCACTACTCAGAGTAGTGAACGTCTCCAAATACTTCCTTGACAGGAACTTTAACTTGAATTGAGCGGATGCATCACTGAAATCAGTGGCATATAAAGATTCAAATTCATGTGTGTAACTCACAGACTGTTTATGAAAACGAGATTGACAGAATCTTACAATTGTCAAAACACACTAATATCAGCGGCCATAACGTCCCAAGTGTTGAATATTGCTCTATGAGACCACAACGCTAATGTTAAGTGAGCATTTCACATAGAAATCGTTTGTAATCCCCAGTGAGTCGAAACAGTTTTGAAGAATAACAAACATCGGATATAGCGAAATGACATTTCTGGATGTTGGAGTTTGCTGTATCTAGTATAATCCATTAGCCTGAAATCTGACAATACTTTCACGATTATTTTCCAATGCCAATTTAACATAGAAACATTGCAAATGTGAACAAATGTCTAATCGATATTCGGTATAAACAAACATGCTTTACATAAGGTTATTATAGCGAATGTTTTACAGTTACTTGCAATTGCAAGGGTGAAAGAAAAGTTGTGAGAAAAACATACATAATGTATCACTCAAGGAATAAAAGTAATGTTTGTTGTAAGTTAATCCATATCCATGTGCCTCGCGTATTGACGCTATGAATAAAGAAACTAGAGCCACACAACCTGCCTTAGTCCTGTCATTTCTGAAACCTTTTCGCGAACATCTGGCGTCATCATTGATTTTCAAGAGTAACAAGAAATACCATCTGTAAAGTCAATTGATATAACGAGGCCAGGGGATCGAACCATCAACCTTCCGCTCTTTGGGCAGATGCTCTATCCACTGGACCACGGAGGCGGTCTGGGACCAGAGCTAAAGATCAGTGATTACACTCTTGCACATCTGCATATTTATCTCACACACTGTCATATCACCACAGCATTCATTTCTTTGGTAAAGTAAAGTTTAACTATTCTAAACACGAAAACAAAACATTATTGATTTATATTTTATGGGTAATTCGTGTGGGGTATGTCATGTCGTTAGGAATAAATAGCATTACCCATACTAGTTAAATATATTTGTCTAATAATCTTAAGTGTGCCTGTAATAAAAACCGCATATATTTCTCAAAATGGAGAAAGTCACTATATGCTGAAATATTGCCTATGTGACTTTGAATATTTACTTACTAAAAATGGAGAAGTAAGTGACTATATTTCATTCAACAACGAAATCCATTTTACAGTTTCTCACTGGCCATTCAATATTTAAGCGCCAAATCTATACACGTTATTCAACCTTGAGCTATGACTGTTGTGTAGGCAACTATAAGCTCTGTTTTCATCCGGTGAGTGGAAATGACATTACTTGTCTCTACACAAACATACCAGACCTTACATGTCTCAATGAAGCGTAGCGGGGCTGCGCATTGACAACTTTCACGGGACGTTAAATGAACGCGAAATATTTATATCGTATGACGAAGTAGATGGTTAATTCTGTTTTTCGTTTAGACTGTAATCTAGTGCACAAAAAACATAAATGTATTATGTTCCCTTTGTCATAAGGTTTGAAATGTAATTGGTAACTTTACTCTCTCATGAACTGACTGATCCCTTAATCAGTTCGGGCGGTCGGGTAGCCTAGTGGTTAAAGCGTTCGCTTGTCACGCCGAAGACCCTGGTTCAGTCCCCCGCCGTGATATTGCTGGAATATTGCTAAAAGCGGCGTAAAACCATACTCCCTCTCTCACTCTTGATCAGTTCAGTGATAATGTGTCTAGGAACTAATTACATACAACACACGATCAAAACTGTATAGTTGCAATTTGCATACATGTATCAAATAAATTGAACATAATTATTAGTGTATGATTTCATTTTTAACGGTTCCATGATTTTATCTTTACGGCGTCACGATACCAGCAAAGCAAATAATACCTGTACTTCCATGCACGAACACAGATCAAGATCGCTAAAGCGTTTTACAAACATGTACTTGTTCCCTCGTGCTTCCTTTGCTGTATCATATAAACATATGATCATATAAACAGTGTCAATCATGGACATATTCATGAACTATCATAGCACAAGGGAAAATTCAAATATATACCAAATGTCCAATTATTTTGTGTATTTTGTATATCCAGATATATCTGATTTTGTTTAGCCGCCTGTACGAAGCTTGTATATTTATAGGATAAAGGAACATTAGGGAATTACTGAGAACTGCTCATGTCACACACACAAAGTACGTAACCCAGTCTTGCAGCGCTAGCAATACTCATTCTTTTACTTACTAACTTACTTACTCGACCCGTGAAGATCCGGGGTAGAATAGGTCTTCAGCAACCCATGCTTGCCGTAGAAAGCGACTCTGCTTGTCGTAAGAGGCGACTAACAGGATCAGGTGGTCAGGCTCGCTGACTTGGTTGATGATGCATGTCACCGTATTCCAATTCCGTGGGTCGATGCTCATGATGTCAATCAGTGGATTGTCTGGACCAGACTCGATTATTTACAGACTGCCGTCATATAGCAGGAATATTGCTGAGTACGGCGTTAAACAACAAACAAACAAATAAAAAGGTTCCTTTAACCTTGAGTGCATTGCTTATTGTATGAGCATATGTTGTTGCATTATGTTGTTGTTGCATTATGTTGCATTATTGGACTCGGAGGTTAGTGGCAAATGCTGATATTGCTAAATATTACTAAAAGTGGCCTAAAACCATTCTCACTCGCTATTTCACTTCGACACGGTGAAATCAGACGGAATTACAAATCTACATGTATCAAGACATTATCAAAATACGCTGATATATCGGCTACAGGATACAGGGGAGGGGATATCACAATCAGAAATAATGCCATCTGACTCCAGGTATGAATAAGGGGAGGTCGGGTAGCCTAGTGGTGAAAGCGTTCGCTCGTCACGCCGAAGACCCGGGTTCGATTCCCGACATGGGTACAATGTGTGAAGCCCATTTCTGGTGTCCCCCGCCGTGATATTGCTGGAATATTGCTAAAAGGGGCGTAAAACCATACTCACTCACTCCGGGTATGAATATCTATGTATTGACTATTTTAAAGCCCAATAAACTCCTGAATGTTCAACATATTGGTATATTAGTAAATATATCCAATGTAGCACAATCGTTAATGGGTAACAAATACCCATTAACGATTGTGCTACATTGGATATATTTTAACGCTCGACTATGTACATGGTAGTGTAAACAGATTATGCATATCGACTAACATATTCAATCTGGGCCAAAATGATGAATAATTTTATCTACAGTAAACAAACGTCATTATCACAGTGATATGCTAAATGAATTGCCATTTCTGTACTTTTCTATCTTTATATTTCATTTGAGGTTTTATAAGAATACTAAAAGGGTATTGGTGCATATGTACGTAACGCGTCACTCCTGACGTACCTAGTGCACCCTATCGCAGTGTCTATGGTATGAATCAACAGCGACAGGTCGGGGAAGCCCCTTGTTTTCCAAACTAACTGATTCAGTTCAACATGTTAACGGTCTTGGTACCGAATGTTGATAAGCATGTTGCGAGGTGATACAGAACTTTAATATCACAGTTACAATGATCTCAGACCAAGTTGACGACGTATATGTGTATTCCGGACAGTTACAATCATCTCAGACCAAGTTGACGACGTATATGTGTATTCCGAATTCTGTTCAATATTTATAAATATATTTCAAACTTCAATAACCATTATCTCCATTATCCAACGAAACATAATTCAGGGGGGGGGGGGGGGGCAAAGTAGCGGTGAAAATGATATGAATGGATCACTAAAAATCAGTGATTATATCCGTTGCTAGTAACAGTATGTATGTAACAGGAACAGGAATGTTTAATATTTTATATTTTTTAAATGTTAACCATTTATTTCCGTTTGTCCAACGCCGTTGATGAATCGATTAAAGTATACACGAGGAAATATATAATGTCACAGGAAATACTACTACTCACGGACATTACATGAAATGTTCATGATGAAATAGTTACTCATAACAATGAAATTCTCTGTCCACCATACTTCAACCCTTTCCGGCACAAATACGTCCAGACTACACGATAAGTGTATCGAACATCACACACAGCAGCTGTGCTCCATTGTCCGGGACATATGGTATTCATGAAATAATGAAATAATGAAATATGCAAATTAGGCTGATGTTTATCATGACTAATATGTACATGTAAGTATGAGTGAGTGGGTGAGTGAGAGAATGTAAGTACAAATTGAAGGAACAAACCGCTTGTCCCATTCATGTGCATATGAGTGAGTAAGTAAGTTTTGTTTGTTTGTTGTTTAACGCCGCACTCAGCAATATTCCAGCTATATGACGGCGGTCTGTAAATAATCAAGTCTGGACCAGACAATTCAGTGATTGATATCATGAGCATCGACCCACGTAATTGGGGTACGATGACATGCCTCAACCAAGTCAGTGAGACTGACCACCCGATCCCGTTAATCGCCTCTTACGACAAGCATAGTCGCCTTTTACGGCAATCATGGGTTGCTGAAGACCTATTCTACGTGTACCCCGGATCTTCACGGGTCGAGTAAGTAAGTTAGTAGGTAAAAGAATGAGTATTGCTAGCGCTGCAAGACTGGCTTACGTAGTTTGTGTGTGTGAAATAAACAATTCTCAGTTATTCCCTAAGGTTCCTTTATCCTATAAATAAACAAGCTTCGTACAGGCGGTCTAAACAAAATCAGATATGTCTGGATATACAAAATACACAAAATAATTGGACATTTGGTATATATTTGAATTTTCCCTT